TGAATTACTTCATAGAGTATACTTGATTTTACTGTTATCATTGGAATTGATGTTATTGGCATTTGGAGCTGATAATTTGGTTTTTGGGGGTAGTTTTGTTCTGTTTTTTACTTCATTTCTCCTTTTTTTAAAAATCTTCATGGGCCTTTGAAAATTCTTAGGCCTTGAGTGCTTAAAAGACCTCCAGCTCAAGATACTAAGCAATATGTCATCACCACAGGTACTCTTAGCTAATAAGATCCATAAACATGGGGCATCTGGGTGGCTCAGTCAGTTAAGTATTTGACTTTTGGTGTGGCTCAAGTCATGATCTCAGGGTTTGTGAATTTGAGCCCTGTATTGGGCTCTGTGCTGACAGTGCAGAGGCTGCTTGGGATTCTTTATTATATCTACCTCCCCACCCTTTCCCTCAAAAATAAATAAACTTTAAAAAAAAAAAAGAGAGATTCATAGACTTGGTGGGCTTTGGGAAGGTAATTTGGGGACTATGGAGGACACAGATTAATATAAGCAACCATCCATCACCATTCTTTTTAAATAAATAAACAACTTTTTTTTAAAGTTTATTTATTTTTTTTGAGAGAGAGCAGGGGAGGGGTAAAGAGACAAGGAGAGAGAGTCCCAAGCAGGCACTCTGCTGTCAGCATGGAGCCCGACACGGGGCTCAGTGTCACAAACTGTGGTATCATGACCTGAGATGAAATCAAGAGTCAGTCTCTTGACTAACTGAGCCACCCAGGTACCCCAAGTTTTTTTTTCCCTTCTGTTTTTCAGTTTGGAATTTTCTATTACCATATCCTGAAGTTTAGAGAGTCTCTTCTCACCCATGTCCAGTCTCTTAATGGGACCATCAAAGGCATTCTTCGTTTATGTTACATTGTTTATGGTTTTTAGCATTTCCTTTTTATTCTTTCTTAGAATTTCCACATTTCTGCATATATTATCCACCTATTCTTGCTTGTTTACCTTTCCCATTCATATCCTTATCACATTTATCATATTTTTTTAAATCCAGCATTTCTGACATATCTAACTCTGATTCTGATGCTTGTTCTGTCTCTTCAGACTGTTTTTTACCTTTCAATATGCCTTATAATATTTTTTTATTGACAGGCGGACATGATTAACCAAGCGAAAAGAACTTTAGTAAATGACTTCTAATAATGTAGTGGTATAAGTTGTGGAAGGAGGGGAAGCTTTCTTTAGTCTATTGGTCTCAATTTTTTGTTGAACTCCTGTGCCTGGACTGTGAAATAAACCAGTGCTTCTCAGTGGCCTTTTCCCACGTAGGCAGGAAAAGATGGCTACAGGGGAAGGAGTTAGGTATTTCTCTTCCAAAGCAGTCAGACTCTGATAAAATCCTATCAGGTTATGCTCTGGTAAAATACTGTTATTTGAATCAGGCTTCAGTGGTTGCACATCCAACTTCAGCTTAGGTCATGATCTCACAGCATAGCTTCGAGCCCCACATGGGGCACTGCACTAATAGTGCAGAATCTGCTTGGTATTCTCTCTCTCGTCCTCTCTCTGCCCCTCCCCACTCGCTATCTCTCTCTCTCTCTCTCTCTCAAAAATAAACATTAATGGGGCGCCTGGGTGGCTTAGTCGGTTAAGCGTCCGACTTTCGCTTGGGTCATGATCTCGCGGTTCGTGGGTTCGAGCCCCGCGTCGGGCTCTGTGCTGACTGCCAGCTCAGAGCCTGGAGCCTGTTTCAGTCTGTGACTCCCTCTCTCTCTGACCCTCCCCTGCTCATGCTGTCTCTCTCTCTCTCTCCTAGAAATAAAAAAAAAAAAAAAACGTAAAAAAAAAAAATAAAAAAATAAACATTAAAAAAAATTTTTAATGGCAAAGCGTTTGCATAAACATTTTTCTAAAAAAGGCCTGCGAATGGCCAAAAGCACATGACAGAAAAATGTTTGGCATCATTAATCATCAGGAAAATGTGAATCAAAACCTCCGTGAGCTACCATTTCATTTCCACTAGGATGGCTGGAATCAAAAAGTCAAATGATGAGTATTGGTACGGCTTTGGAAAAATTGGAGCCCTTGAATACAGTTGGTGGTAATGTAATCTGATACAGCTGCTTTGGAAAACAGTCTGACACTTCCTCAAATGATTATATGTAGTTGTACCATATGACTCAGCTTTTTAACACCTAGGTTTATATATCCAAGAGAAATGAAAAATATATGTCCACACAGATACTTGTACATGAATGTTTTCAGGAGCATTATTTATAAAAGCCAAATGTTGGAAACAACCAAAGTGTATGTCAACAGAGAAATGGGGTGGTAGGTCCATATAATGGAATATTATTCAGCCTTAAAAAAAATGAATATGTGTTACAGCTCAGGTGAACCTTGAAAACATTATGTAAGTAGTAAAGTGGGGGGGACAGTCACATGTATATAACTCTCTGTATATGAAAGTTTAGGGAAATTCTTTGAGATAGAAAATAGATTGTTTACTTAGGGCTAAAGAGGCAGGACAGTGGTTAAGGGAGTGATAGCTAAAGATTATGGGGTTCCTCCTTGAGATGGTGAGAACATTCTAACATTTACCGTGGTGATGGTTGCTCATAACTAAGAGGATATGAAAAATCTTTGAATTGTATACTTTAAATTATTGAATTGTATGGCATTTAAATTATATCTCAGTAAAGCTGCTTAAAGAAAAGAACAGGCTATTCTAAAAGCCTATGTATTTACCATCAAATTTAGCAGAAAGAGACTAGACACTTATAGGTGGCATATATTTTAGCCTCCCCTCCCCATGTCATTTCCCCTTTGCACCCCAAACTTAAGACAGGATGTTCAGAAGCATGTGGTCTTGCCAACACTCTAAAGAGTGCTGTTTCTAGCAGTCTGACTTCAGCCTAAAAAGAAAGAGTGTTGGGAGAAAGGATTTCTCTCAACCATAGCTCATACTAAGCACGGGGCTTGTAATCAATCAATGGTAAAGTACTCAGGAGGCAGCTGGCCACAAAAGCTTCTCTTCATAGTGCATCCCTTCCTGGAGGAGTGAGGAAACCTTTTGTCACAAGCCTGTTACAAGTACAGTGGCATCTGAAATCAGATTGTTCTGACTTCTAAACAGAGTTGCCCTTTCAGAGCACAAGTATTGGTGCTCCAAATGAGGCAAGTGAGGCCCATGTGGTTGGCCTGTGTGAAGACATCTGTGTGCTGTCCGTGCCATTGTGAAACATTTGTGCCGGAAGACCTCCACCTAGCGTGTTGTATACCTGTACCCTGTATTGCATAGATGGAGAGTGTGTGGAAGAATTCATTTTAATTGTAAACATTTCATTCTCAAAAAACAAAAGATCCAACCTCTTTTTCCCATTGTTGGTAGTTCTGAACATTAGATTTTTTTTTTTTAACCAGGAGGTCAAGATGTACCAAATTATATGACTGTGGTTAGAAAAAATGGTGACATAATTGGGTATTGGCAAGTTATTCTTCCATTTTCATTAGTATGTAAATTTTCATATGAATTTGTGGACATAAGACATTAAAGGAAGTCAAATTTCAATAAAATAATTTATAGCAATTATAAATAAATCTAGTATTTTTTTTTACAATGCCAACACTTAGTTGGTTTTTTTTTTTTTAATAACAAGTGACTTTCAGGGGTTTCTGGGTAGCTCAGTTGCTTAAGCCTCCGACTCTTGATTTTGGCTCAGGTCATGATCTCACAGGTTGTGAGATCCAGCTCTACATTGAATCTCCTCTACCCAGTGTGGAGCCTGCTTAAGATTCTCTCTCTCCCTCTCTGTCTGCCCTTCCCCCCCCAAAAAAAAATAAAAAAAATAATAAATAAGTTAATTTCTTATTAATCACCAAATATTATCTATTATTTCATCATACAGTAGTTACATCCACTCTACTTTTCTAGTTGATTCTACATGCAAATGCATGTTTTTAATGTTGTCTTACTATTCTTGTATATTTGTTATCAAAATACATTTAATTAAAAAAATTAAGTTAACAAGTTTCAAGTTCCTAAAATTGACACTATTGTCCTAAAACACCAAAATCCCATTAAAATGGATAGTCATTTAATTATTAGTATCAGTAATCATGATACAACCTAACAGGAGTTTTTCTGTTGTTAATTATTTTCTACCAGCTATCTTCAGTAGTACGGGCCCTAGAAGATGATTGGGAATTTTGTGGGAAGGTTATTAAGTTGTCATAATGATAGGGGGATATTATTAGGCCAGCTCTCTTGATGCCTAAGTTCAATAGATCCAGTAGATTCCAGCTCTTGTCTTTACACCTGCCCTCAGTGCTTGGTGCTTCCAACTTCTGATCTCAAAGGTCTAGAGGACGTGTTCACTTTTGCAAGCACTTTAAGTGTGGTTTCCTTGCTTTTGCCAAATTTTGACAGACCATTGATCTGTCAGCATTGACTTAGAAATATGTGTTGAGATTTTTTTTAGCTGATGATGTTTTCTCTCCTCTTCTCTCTTTCACAGTGGGTGTGTGTCCTTTTTTTTTTTTTTTTTAATTTCCTTTACTTTCTGTTCAGTGGTTTCAAAGGAAGAAGAGATCACCAAGTGATGAATCTTCTATGCTTAACAGCTCAGTGGGAAATACCTTCTCTTAGAGATTATGGCTATTTTAGGTGGTTTGGTTGTTATGTAGACTAGCTGGTATACTGGCACTTAGTGCCTACTTGGGACTAGATCTGCTCATCACACTGCCATTTGTGAGCCCACCCAAAATTCCAGTGGTACCTACAGTTACCCACTCATTCTAGTCTTGCATTAACTCAGCATAAACAGTATGTTAGACAATTAACATTTTCTGTGGCTGAGAGTAATGCGTAATCTTATTCATGACTGTTTCTCAAGGTGAGCTTTTGGAACCTAATTTGCATTCAGAAATAACAGTAAAAACAGTGTCATGGCTCCTTATTATTAAAAGGAAAAACACACTGGATAAATTGTTTTCCTGTTCTAATAGCTTTGCAACATAACTTTTCTGCACATTAACAGATTTTTTGGTAAAAGGCCTCAGTGGGATTGTAGAGGAGCATCAAATCTGAGTGAACTTCATCACCTATTAAGTGACATAATGATCAGAAGATTGAAGACTGACGTTTTAACCCAGCTGCCCCCTAAAGTCAGACAGCGTATTCCCTTTGATCTTCCATCAGCAGCTGCCAAGGTAAGAACATGTGTTTGATTAGAAGTTTTTTTTCTTTTTAAATTTTATTTATTTATCTATTTTGAGAGAGAGGGTGTGTGAGCAACGGAGGGACAGAGAGAGAGAGCGAAAGAGAGACAATCCAAGCAGGTTCTACGCTGTCCGTGGAGAGCCTGATGAGAGGCTTGAACTCACGATCTATGAGATCATGACCTGAGTTGAAACCTAAGAGTTGGACACTTAACCAACTGGCACACTCAGGTGTCCCAATTTGAAGTCTTACTTTAAGTCATTTTAAATTACACTATGAAGGATTGTACATATTGATATTTCATAGAAGGAAAAATCTGCTTTCTTAAAACAGGTTTAATTAATAGAACATATGAACTGACTTTGTATCATTTTAAGAAGAGAATAGGAGATATTTAACTTCAGTCATCAACTAATGGAAAAGATTCAGTATCCTCCTGATTGAAAAAAAATTCTGCTCACTATAGAAAAAAAGAACCACTTCAACTGCAACAAAGATTTAATATTAAGAATTCTAAGAGTCTATAGGGTGTAAAGCCCAATAATTAGGAAGGGAAGTTGTGTTTCTTGCTCTAGGCTTTTTTTTCAAGTATGAGCTGTCTTCTAGAGTAAATTGGAGGTAGGCTTCTTCTTGAAATCTTAAGACTCTGTGATCATGTTGGAAGATGTGAAGCTCCTTAGAAATCCTGACCTACATTTACTTTTAGAGAACACAGTGCTTATATATTCTCTGAAATTGCTTTAAATCTGGATGAGACTTTGTTGACAAAGACATTTATTGCATTGTTTTATCTTGAAAGTTTAAGGTAGACATTTTGTAAACATTGAACAATATGTTATTGGTAAAATAAAATGATCCGATTTTCTTTATCCATTATGTTAGCATTAGAAAGAAAAAGAGGGGCACCTGTGTGACTCAGTCAGTTAGGCATCACACTCTTACTTTCAGCTCAGCTAATGATCTCATGGCTCTTGAGATAGAGAGCCATGTGCACTATCAGCACAGAGCCTACTAGGGGCTTTGTCTCTCTCCTTTCTCTCTGCCCCTCCGCTCCTTGCACACACACTCATTCTCTCAAAATAAATAAATAGATACTAAAAACTAAAAAAAAAAAAAAAAGAGTCAGTATATGACTATATTACATTTTTATTTAGCTAATATTCCTCAAGTCTTTATGCTTATTTACATGAAATCATATTTCTTTATCAAAGTACCTGCTACCATATACATTTTCACTGTTTTCCTTTCTTATGTATGAAGACTTTTATTTTTACTTCACAAAATGTTTTTTATTATGGGGAAGCTTTCATTGTTCGATTTATGGTGTTAGCAAAGGGCTTAACTTTCACCTACAGCTTTTCATTGGTTTCTGTCATCGGCGTGAACATGTGACTGACCTGAATCCAGATTGATGTTTTAAAAAAAAGGTTTTTATAATGTTTATTTATTTTTGAGAGACAGAGCACGAGCAGGAGAGGGGTAGAGAGAGAGGGAGATACAGAATCCTTAGCTGTCAGCATAGAGCCGAACACAGGGCTCAAACCCACAAACTGTGAGATCATGACCTGAGCTGAAGTTGGTCTGACTGAGCCACCCAGGTGCCCCATATTGATGTTTTTAAATGAACACATTGGCATCTTTGGGAATTTTCTTTTTATATCTTTCCAAAGAAAAAACAAAAAGAGTAGGACATGATACATTATTTAATTGATTGTTCTTCTGTTCTTTATGTTGTATTTCTAAACATTTTTATTTTCTCCCACACAGGAATTGAATACCAGCTTTGAGGAGTGGGAAAAATTAATGAGAGCTCCAAATTCAGGTGCCACTGAGACTGTCATGGGATTGATTACTCGCATGTTTAAACAAACTGCTATTGCCAAGGTATTCATTGCTGGGACATCATGTGTTTGTCTTGATACAAATTATTTAATGTATTTTAATGCTTTTATTTCACCAGCTTATTTGCATACTACAGCATGTCATTGCCATTTAATTTTTTTAACTCTCTTTTATGGAAAAATCAGACACATTCAACATAAACAGTGGTATAAAGAACACCATTATATCAGTCCATATACTGATCCATTCTAATATATGAGTACACTTTGATGAGAGATAATAAGCTTTACACTTCCTCATTTAAATGTGTTTTTTTTGTTGTTTTTTCATTTTTATTTCTGAGACAGAGAGAGAGAGCATGAGCAGGGGAGGGTCAAAGAGAGAGGGAGACACAGAATCTGAAGCAGGCTCCAGGCTCTGAGCTAGCTGTTAGCACAGAGCCCGACGTGGGGCTCGAAACCACGAACTGCGAGATCATGATGGAAGTCAGACACTTAACCGACTGAGCCACTCAGGCACCCCTACACTTCTTCATTTGAAGGACATGCATATATTCATCTTTCTCATCAGATTTTTCTGTGGCTTTTGCTACATAATTGCTACAAATAATGTTTTTTTTTTAATTTAAGTCAATCATTTTTAATTGGTATTATGTTTCTTGTTCCCTACAGAGATGGATGTGCTCATATTCTATTTGTCTAAAAGTGCAAATTAGAGGTGTTAGAGTTTTTAAATCTCAGTATGAATATAAAGTAGATTCATCACACATTGTTGTTTTTACTAGCATGGTAGAACTTAGACATGCTAATGAGTGTCATTCCTTTCTATTTCTGAGATTTTTTTAGAAGATTATTTTTAAGTAAGGTATATTCAGGTACAATTTACATTCTGTGAAATTTATCCTTTTAAAATGTATAGCCTGAGGAGGTTTGGCCAATACATAGAGTCAGCCACCAGTACAATCAAGATAGAGTATTTCCATTACCACAAAAAGTTCCCTCATGCACCTTTGCAGTCCTTTCCCTCACATCCACCCTCTGTGCCTCAGTATTCACACATCTGCTTTCTATCTCTGTAGTTTTGCACTTTCCTGAATGTTACAAAAACAGAATCATATAGTATATAGTCTTGTGTCTGGCTTCTTTAACTTAGCAGAAAGCTTCTGAATATGATCCATGTTTTTGCCTATGTCATATTTTTTTCATTTTTACTTCTGAGTAATATTCTCTCACCAGTTAATGGCCATTTGGTGGTATCTTATCAGTCTTGGCCACTGTGAGTAAAACTGCTATGATCCTTCACATGCAGTTCTTTATATAGACAGATGTTCATTTCTTTTGAGTAAATAACCAGGAATAGAACTGTTGGGTCATATGGAAATCACAGTTTAAATTTTATAAAAAGCCCGATAAGTTTTAGAATTATCTTGTTAGGTATGTATAATTTTTTTGGAATTGTTTTGAATCTATGAATTCATTTGGAAGAATTGACTTCTTAGTACTATTAAATTTCCTGATCCATGGAAACAGTGTCTAATTACTCCCAGCCTTGTTTTCTAGTTTCAGTGAATACATTTTAGATTTATACAAGTAGATTTATTCTAGTGATTTCATGTTTTTTATGCACTTGTAAACAGTATTTTCTAATTTAAATTTCTACTTTTTATTGCTAAATATAGAATTATTGTCTATTTTTGTTTATTGAACTTTTATCCTTTGACATTGCTGAGCTCACTTATTAATGCTTATGGATATTTGATAAATCCCTTGGGATTTTTAACATAGAACATCATTTTGTCTGTACATAAAGGAATGCAAATACAATTTTGTTTTTGGGGTTTTTTTTGTTTTTTTAAATGTTTTATTTATTTCTGAGGGAGAGAGACAGCATGAGCAGGGAAGGGTCAGAGAGAGAGGGAGACACAGAATCCAAAGCAGGCTCCATGCTCTGAGCTAGCTGTCAGCACAGAGCCCGACAGGGCTCGAACCCACAAACGGTGAGATCATGGCCTGAGCCGATGTCGGACGCTTAACCGACTGAGCCACCCAGGCACCCCGCATATACAATTTTGAATAGAAGTGATAGGACTGAACAACTTTGCCTTGCTGTCATCCATAGGGGGAAAGCATTCAGCCTTTCACCATTAATTATGGTGTTATCTTTAAGTTTTTCACAGATAGGCTTTCTCAGGTTCAGAAAACTTTCTTCTTTTATTGAGTTTGTTGAAAGGAAAGATGAAACATGAAAATGTATTACCTGGCAGAGCAAGGTTAGGATTAGGGTAGTTACCACAAAAGTAGATAAAAAGAAAATGGCTAAAATTTTAAGAAAATTATAAAGACTGATCATGAGCTATCATGGCTATTCAGAATAACAGGGGGCTTGACACAGCAAGTCCATACTCACTCAGAAGCTTTATTTCCACTGCCCTCTACCAGGTACTGATTAGGTCATAGACACCCCCATTAGTGGAACACTAAGCACAGTACCTATTTCCAGAACCTTATATTAAGCAAAATTGCTTCTGCGTGCCAGTTTATAACTAAAGCTATCTACCCATACAGGCTAGGCAGAAAACCCTGTTGAAGTCAAGATCTTGCAGTGTTATAAGACAGAGATCCATTATAGCAAGGAGAGTCAGAAACTCCAGGAAAGTCCCACCTTTAAGGCACAGCTGGATCAAGGGGCCTACCTTACATTGAGTTGCCCCCTACCTAGAATTTAACACTGAGAAACCATAAAGATCAGTCCTTCAAGGGAGAGAGACATGTGTCTACAGTGTAGGCATGTAGGGACAACTGGAGGCTAAGAGTGCAGCTGGAATACCTATAAAAAAACAAAAACAAACAAACAAAAAAAAACCTTGGCACACACAAGGTAGAAGTGTCCCATTGCTGGGGGAGTTCAAAGTTTGTTGTGTATTGAAGGTAAATGTAACAAAAAGAGAACCTAAATAAAACTCAATACTGACTAGATTGTCTCACTCCTTCCCACACTATCATCCTGTCCCCCTCCCCAGAAAAAAGCCCATTTCTGGATATAAGTTCTGTTATTCTACACATAATTTCTAGCACGTAATAGAAATTATGAAATAAACAAAAGCAATTTAAAAAAAAAAACTAATCCATTTTCAAGAGATAAAGCAAATAATAAAGCCAAATTGATAAATGACCTAGACTGTAGAGCTATTAGACTATGTCTTTCAGTAAGCAATGAATAATATGTTAAATGATCTAGTAGCAAATGTAAACAATATACATGAAAAGGTGGGGAATTTCAGGAGAAATATGAATATTTTATTTTTAAACCTTTTGAGAGGGAGAGCATCACGTGCGATCAGGGGAAGGGGAGGGGAGGAGAGAGAGACATTCTTAAGCCATCTCCACACTCAACATGGAGCCTAATGTAGGGCTCGATCTTAGGACCATGAGATCATGACCTGAGCCAAGATCAAGAGTCAGACGCTCAACTGACTGAGTCTCCAGGTGCCCTAGCAATATGAACATTTTAAAGACAGTAAAATGGAAGTGCTAGAAATAAAAAAACAGAATCTAAGAAAAAGAAAATTATTTCAGTCCATTTATAAACCAATATAGGAGATAAAATGTAATGAAAAAAAATCTTAATTTCCTGGATATTTATCCTAGAGAAATGAAAACTTTGGTTTACACACACTCCTTTATAAGTCCAAATGTCCTTCAAACAAATTGTAATATATCCATACAATAGACTACTCAATTAAAAGGAATTGAACTATTGGAGTGTGTGGGTGGCTCAGTTGGTTAAGGGTCCAAGTCTTGATTTTGGCTTAGGTCATGATCTTGAGGTTTGTGACTTCAAGCCTTGCATCAGGCTTGGTGCTGATGGTGTGGAGCCTGCTTGGGATTCTCTTTCTCTCCTCTCTCTCTCCCTCTCTTGCTCTCTCTCTCTCTCAAAAATAAAACTTAAAAACAAAAAAGGAATGAACTATTGATAAACACAACTGGATGAATCTAGAGGCATTATACTGATTGAAAGAAGCCAGTCTCAGAAGTTTTTATATGTCATGACACCATTTTTATAACATTTTCAAAATAGTGGAATTGTGGTGATAGAAAATATTATTATACCAATGCCATCTTCCTAGTCCTGATATTGTACTATGGTTATATAAGAAATTATCATTCAGGAAACTAGGTTAAGGTTACACAGAAACTATATATTTATTGCAACCTCTGGCATGTCTAAAATTATTTCAAAATAAAACATTTCAAATCATACAGATAGTAGACACAATAATCTAATGACCAAAAAAAAAAAATCTAAGTTAATCCAAAAGAAGGCAGAAAAGAAAGGAAAAGAGCAGCTGGGTCAGTCTAACAACTAACTAGATATTGGGTTTTAAACTAGTTTTATCAATAAATATATTAAATGTAAATGATCTAAACCCACCAAGTAAATGGTAGGAAATGTCACATTGCATAAATCATGATACCTGCAAAAAAGTTATTTTTACATATGAAGGCTAAAGGTTAAAAATAAATGGGTGAAAAAAAAGTTGTATCATACAAACAATAGTCAAAGGAAAACTGAAGTGAAATACTGTAGTATCAGATAATATAGACTTTAGAACAAAGATTATTACCAGAATTAAAGAGGAAATTGATAGGTCACTAAGATGACAACATAGGTTGTTCCTGAATTTGTTACTCGTCACAAGTACAATAACTAACAAGCATTCAAGAAGAAGATACCCCTAAGAGAATCTTAGCACACAAGGGTAAGGCTGAAACCACCCCCCTCTATACCCTAAAGACCAAGACAGACCACATTAGAAGGGTAAGAAAAGTGGCTGCACATTGACTGCATACCCATCCCCATAGGCTATTGCAGCACCATTCAGGGATATAACCCCCTGAGCTTTTGGCTCCTCCAGCAGGAAAAGAAAATCCATGAGGAATAACCAGTGCCAGCAGCACCACCTTACCCCCCACCCCAGTATTGTGAGTTACCCTGCCAGAGCCACTACTTTGATCTTTATCCATGCAGATTGCAGGGAAGTT